AATTATGTTGTGATAGAGGAGGTCTTGTTAATGAACTTGAACAGTTTGTCATTATGCTTTTAACCTTGATTGAGTGACACAGGTCCAGGTTTTTTGCAGTTCAATGGGAACCGTAAATACCTGTTTTCTTTAAATAAAAAATTTGTTCATGTGATAGACGGAACTTCTTGATTACCGTAGCTAGTTGAATTTCTTTCCTTCTCAGAAAAAGGTAGTTGCTAAATGCTGTGTTAATGCATATACAATTAAAAAGTAAGTGCTTGTATTTACAAATCAGTCCCTGTAAAGTCTTCTCACTAATGTACAGATAAATCCCTGCATTGAAGTGAAATGCATTTGATATGGCTATTAGAGAATGCAATGAACCTTTTATGAATGTCTGTTAAAACAAATCATGCAAACTAAATAATAGTATCTCTGGAGACTAATTAGTTTCTTCAACAAATAGACTGATTCCCATGCTGATTGATGATAGTATCTCTATATTTTGCAGGTACTGGGTATGGTGGGTTATGGATGCACTTTTCTCTTGTGCGTGATAAAAGACCTGAAGCAATGTCACCGGATTTTATTGCCTGCAAGACCTTCTGATATAGCTTGTGATCATAAGAATGAAAGATTTAAAAATAAGGCTGAGAGGAGCTGCAGTCCTTCCTGCACAGTGTTATTTCCTCAGTTTTTATGTCCTAAGCAAGTAAATACTTCTGTGATCACTGGTCTGAAGCACTCACCCAAGGGCTGCTGCCCTTCTGCTATTTCTGCACCTGTGGGCCCCAATAGCTGTGTATGATTGTACAGGTCACTAATTTAATTTTCTAAGGGAAGAGGGGAGTTCAATCCAATAGTTTATATTTCAATACACCAAATTAAAAAAAAAAAAGTATCATTTGCTTAGCAAATTGGACACTAAGCTGTGTAGCTGTTGGTTGATTTGGAAATCTGCTTGTTCCTTTCCTCTGGGTAGACAACTTCAAGTAATAAGACAAAAAGTATTCTAGAAGAAAAAGGCGTGTTAGAACTGACCTTATTAAGCCACTTGTTTGAGTAACTGAAAATAAATTAGCAGTGTGTTTCTGTGCTTTAATATGTAGTGAAATTAAACCACAGAAACCCACTGAATTAAGCTTGATTTGTTTAGTTTCAAACTGAAGTTGGCCTAAACATACATGTTTTGCTAATACTAGAAATTAATATTAACCTAATACTTCATATTAAACTCAGTATAAATACATATTTTTCCCTATGTTATCTGGCAATACTTGCTCCACTTAGTGAGTCTGCAAATACTGTTTAGATAGTGAAAAGCTGTGTGCATGCCCTTAACAGAGACTTCAAAAAAAGTTGTTTAATAAAATGACAAAATATGTAAACTTTTCTAAATTCCTTTCATGCTTATTTGAAAGAGAAAAGTCTGTAGTCTTAACTGCTGGGATCTGTTCTGCAGAGCTACAGAAGACTCTAGCCATGCAAAAACTGAGATCACAGGCCCTTGGAGTTGAACATCTTGGGAATAATGCAGGTGCTTTCCTACTAAAAACATCTTGGAATGTCAGCTGACCCATATCCATATTTTGATGCTGTTTCTCTCATCTTGAAAGTGATATAAAATGTCTTTCCTGAAAAGATGTATGTGAAAAGCTGTTGAAAGTCTTCCATTGAGGAGCTTGTGCCTCTCACCTAGTAGATGAGAAGTCCTGAAATTCCTCAGACTCTACATAGAGCCAAAAAATAAAAACCAAAACAGGATGGTTAACAGCAGTTGTCACACCTTTGGTAACAACTAAGTAAAAGTGGAAAACAGTATTTCCAGACTCTAGGAAAGAGATGTCCTCTGTCACATTTCTTTGAGGTTTTTCTTCAGTAGCTCAGTGCAGGTGATTGGCATAAGTTTATACCTAAGCGCGTACAGTTCAGGCAATTTTGTTGTTCAGTCATAGGACAAACTTCTCTGGAGATCTTGAATTATAGTAGTTATCTCCTGAAGAACAGCTTAAAATTTTTGCAGATTGTAGGTGATTTGTTCACAAGAATGATTCTCCAATACATCCAGGACAAGTGTTACTGTTCTTGCAACGATACAGGTATAAGGACAAGGCAGAGTCAGTCATACCAGAAGCCCACCTACACATGCTCTAGAAATACGCTGATGAAGTTCAATAGACTACTGACACGTGGGTTTGTGTTGCTCATAGATTAGAGTGGATTTTTAAAATTTATTTTACTGATACTCTATTGGAAAAGGTTATCCAAAAGTAGTTCTCCAAAACAGTCTCACAATAGCAGCTGCTGCAAGTCACTGTCCGTAGAAAAATAGAGCAGATCTTACCTGGAGAGAACATGACAGTGTATTGGCTAGAAAGAAAAACAACTATCATTGTGCCAGACTTCAAAGTTCTTTCTTCTCTGCGGAAAACAGTGTAGAGAAATAGATATTAATCTTTGGCCACAAATCCTGATATTTTCAGAAATATAGAAAATACGGAGTATTTTCATTCTGTACTTTCCTATTGACATTGACAGAAGGTCAGCAATCTGTGTTAACTTCTACTCCCTAACACTCATTAAGACTTCAGAAGATGCTTAGCTTTATGAAGCTCTCTGTGTACCCTCCTTCCCTTGCATTCAGAATGTTTGCAATCTTGTAAAGCAACAACAGAGTTAATCCAGTGCTGAGAGCTTTTAAGACTCTTATCCTAGAAAACTTTATACAGGAGGCTAAAGCCTTTAGATCACACCACCAAAAAAGGGAAACTATTTCCAGGGTGATGTTGCCTAGTACCTGTGTTTATTTGAAAAGTTACCTGAACAGAAGCCAAAATAATGTCCTAACAACTGGCTTGAAACTAGCAAATTACAGACAAAATAACAGTTGACTGAAAAATCTTGAAGTAAGAAAGTGTACAATATTTAAAGTTGTTCAGTTTTATTGTCAGACTCCTCAGTGTCTGAAGGGAGACTACTTGAAAAGATGTTTAGTTTCTGTCTCTGCAAGTTCCAACTCACTGTATTCTCATATATTAATCTCTTCAACTTTAGTACCAGTTATTTTCCTTTTCTAAATATAGCCACTTTGTTCCATGCAACAACAGAAAAAACCCAAACCTGTAGCTGTTCCACATCCTATACATCCATTATTTTTAATTACTTATGTGAAAAATATAATAATATTGGTATATAGGAGGCCAGGGTGCTCTTTGCTTGATATTTCTCATATTGACTCATCATGTGTGAGTCATAGTGTGTAGGTTCTTGGGTTCCTCCCCTACCTCTGGAGTTTGATACTAGTTGTATTTTAGTTTAATAGAATTTTAAAACAAGATTTTTATCTTAAGTTCCTGCATGTACAGCTTGTACTGTTGTTCCACAGGGTACTTGGGACAACCTTCAGTTTCACTCTTCGTTGTTTGCTGTTTCTAAGGAAAAGAGTATTATCTGTAAAATGAGTCCAAATAGGTCTTTTGTTCTTCTTTTTACCTTAAGAAACTAATAGCAAAATAACCCTTCATGTTAATGTTTCGGTTTTATTTTTTAAACTGGCAATATTTTTGAAGGAGACATGCTTTTCAGATTAAGCATAATAGCAGTAAGTTTGTGTTTATTTTCACTTGTCTTTGGGTGTCTGTAAGAACAGCAGACTGTTGTAACAGCAGATTTGCTGTAGTGCTCGGTTCAGCTTTGTGTGTTGAAATAGTTTCATACCTTTACCAGCATAATTAATTTAAAAGTGTTCCATTTTTGGTTTTAATGCTGTGAAAAAAGGCTCTGTGCGATACAGTACTTGGGGCAGTTTAGAAAACTGTCAGTGACAGCATGCCTAGTGGTTAATATTCTGTCTGTATTGGCTTTCTGGCTCTCGCAGTGCCTTTGTGTATGTCTAGACAAGAAATTGGTAGATAACACATTCCCTGTAGGTAGATTAAGTTTTAAAGCTTTTGGAAGACACCAAGGGACTACTGTGTTGCAAAAAGCTGAATTTTTACTAGTCTTTTTGATGAAAAGGTTAATAGATAGGACAAAATAATTTTTTTCATCTTGCATGTGTTTTAATATGTACCAGTTCATACTAATAACTTTAGTGTAACTTTCTCTGAAGAATTTTTGGTTTGTACTGTGGTTCATATTATGGATATTCATCAGCAGTTCATTCCAGGAGGATGATAGTCCCTGCTGTTGAGAAGCAGTATAGAAGGGAATACTGAAAATAGTGAGCATTTAAAAGGGATAAATGTAGAGGAGAAATGCAGTTTTGTTAAAAACCTGAAGAAACTACTACATTGCGTGCCGGGGGGGGGGGGGAAAACAACAGAAAAACTGATGCATTGATTTGGATGGTAAAGCTGAAGGCTTAGAAGATACTCAGCCTTCCTGGAACTATAAATACTAAGACTTAAATAAAGTATGTTGTCACATGAAACATGGCTAGTTCTCCACGTGGAGGTGGGTCAAAGCTAGATAGATTAGAGCAGCACAAAGTAACTGTAGTAATAGTGTTTTCGGTGCACTTGTAAACAAAATATTATAATAACTATAATATGGAAAAAAATGGTAAATTCGTACAGACGTGTCCTGTCGAGTCAATCATTTATTCTCTGGGGAAATAGTGTAACTTCCAAATAAATTTAATCTATATTAACGTGAGAGTGTTGCGAAGAAGCTGTGTGTACTTGTGAAAGGTTTCATTGGTTTAGTAGAATAATTTCCTCAAATTATATATAAGCATAAGGTTTAAAAATAATACATGGCTAAGTTATGTCCACTGCTTCCTTATGTTATAATATTATATATATTGTATTATAAAATATAGACATATAATAGTCTATATTTTGCGAATAATGTGGTTTGAGTAAGAAACCAATAACTTAGCCCATTATCCAAAGTGCAGCTAGGTGATAAACTAGCAAATAAGGCATCAGCTCTAGAACATTATAAATGGAAATAATTGTATTTAATACAATTATGTGTATATTTGCCTCTTCTAATAGTTTCTTTTGATATTGCAGGAAACAGCATACTCCATTCGGCAGCAGACAGCGTGACAAGTGCAGTACAGAAGGCAAGTCAGGCTTTGAATGAGCGTGGTGAAAGGCTAGGTCGAGCAGAAGAAAAGACAGAGGAGCTGAAAAACAGTGCTCAGCAGTTTGCAGAAACTGCACACAAGGTAAGATTTTGGTGGGACAAGGCTCTTAAGTAGGTCCGAGTCACACATTCTTTTATTGCAAGAGGAGGAAGTTCTGCAAAGAATTGCAGTCAATCACTGTTTACAAGCAACTTGCTGTTTTCCTTTATACTTTTCCTCACTTGGCAATTTTCTGGTTTATAACTTCTGTGCATAGATCCTCAGATATATATGTATTGCCACTTGAATTGAAAATACCTGTCTTCACCTTCCTGAAGCATATTTCAAATCCATCTTTCCACTACTGTTTGGAACCATTCCCCATGCTTTGTGCAGCAATATGAAATTGTTGTTCATCTACTTTGATAAGCAGTCATAGGTCTGTGACTGTGTGTTTCTGAAGAGTATCTTTTTCTGTCGGGAAATGTTATTTATGAGGATTTTGAGGAATTGTTCAGTCTCAGGAACGTATGGACATTCTCGTCTTGGTGGAAGCTATTATGGTACTATGCCTGCTGCTTCTGCATTTGCATGCTCCCATCTTGGTGACAGAAATTCTAGACACCCACAGCATTCAGTTTGATGGCTGACACATAGGCAACAGAAAGTTTTCTGCACATGAGCAACCGTGTTAGCATGTAAATTTGGTAGGTTTGCTGCGTAGGACATGCGTCACACCAAGCAAAGCCTGGCTAGTGCATCAGCACTAGAAATCCTGGATTGATAACTTATAGCTCTATGCAAGCCTCTGTCTTATGTAGTCTTTAAAATGTCACAAAACAATTTAATTTTAAATGGGATAATCCTCTTACTTTGTGGTCCATTTAGATTAGCATGGTTCATCTTACTGGCATGAGTATGGTACAAGCCTGCTTTTGGACTCTTCCACGTAACACCACCTTCTTTCCCTTCGCCCAGTGATGAGAACTATGCCAACTCAGAAAACCAACTTTATACAGCAGCTATTACTGCTTCTAGGGTAGGGGCCAATAGGTTTGCTGCTTTAGAGTAAAGCATAGAGAGCTGCTTGGTAGAGAATTCAAAAATGAAAAATGCCTTTGATAGCTGGGCCACTGTGAATCTTGATTAAGATTTGAATAGGTTTCATTAGTGCGTGTTGCCCTTTCATCTTCCACATGTGCAGAACAGCACTTCCACAGATGAAGACATTATGTGAACAGAAATAAATGTTTTCAAAAAGGTTCTATTAGGAAAATCTTGTTTATAAAAAATCTCAGGATTAAAGTATGCAATATTGTAATAAAAATACCATCCTTGAGAGCCTGTGCTGTACCATATTTAGAAATAAATATTTACAGAATCCTGATATAATAATT